AGTAGTAAGGCCAGGAGCCCCTAGTAGCGTCCTTGCTCCTAGTAGCGATGCCCTTTGTTACTAGGAATGAAGTGACCTTTGCTAGCTTCTTGCTCCTAGTAGTAAGGCCCTTGCCACTAGTAGTAAGGCCAGGAGCCCCTAGTAGCGTCCTTGTTCCTAGTAGCGATGCTTTGTTACTAGGAATGAAGTGACCTTTGCTCCTAGTAGCTTCTTGCTTCTAGTAGTAAGGCCCTTGCTCCTAGCAGCAAGGCCAGGAGCCCGTAGTAGCGTCCTTGCTCCTAGTAGCGATGCCCTTTGTTACTAGGAATGAAGTGACCTTTGCTCCTAGTAGCTTCTTGCTCCTAGTAGTAAGGCGCTTGCTCCTAGCAGTAAGGCCAGGAGCCCCTAGTAGCGTCCTTGCTCCTAGTAGCGATGCCCTTTGTTACGAGGAATGAAGTGACCTTTGCTCCTAGTAGCTTCTTGCTCCGAGTGGTAAGGCCCTTGCTCCTAGCAGTAAGGCCAAGAGCCCCTAGTAGCGTCCTTGCTCCTAGTAGCGATGCCCTTTGTTACTAGGAATGAAGTGACCTTTGCTCCTAGTAGCTTCTTGCTCCTAGTAGTAAGGCGCTTGCTCCTAGCAGTAAGGCCAGGAGCCCCTAGTAGCGTCCTTGCTCCTAGTAGCGATGCCCTTTGTTACGAGGAATGAAGTGACCTTTGCTCCTAGTAGCTTCTTGCTCCGAGTGGTAAGGCCCTTGCTCCTAGCAGTAAGGCCAAGAGCCCCTAGTAGCGTCCTTGCTCCTAGTAGCGATGCCCTTTGTTACTAGGAATGAAGTGACCTTTGCTCCTAGTAGCTTCTTGCTCCTAGTAGTAAGGCGCTTGCTCCTAGCAGTAAGGCCAGGAGCCCCTAGTAGCGTCCTTGCTCCTAGTAGCGATGCCCTTTGTTACGAGGAATGAAGTGACCTTTGCTCCTAGTAGCTTCTTGCTCCGAGTGGTAAGGCCCTTGCTCCTAGCAGTAAGGCCAAGAGCCCCTAGTAGCGTCCTTGCTCCTAGTAGCGATGCCCTTTGTTACTAGGAATGAAGTGACCTTTGCTCCTAGTAGCTTCTTGCTCCTAGTAGTAAGGCGCTTGCTCCTAGCAGTAAGGCCAGGAGCCCCTAGTAGCGTCCTTGCTCCTAGTAGCGATGCCCTTTGTTACGAGGAATGAAGTGACCTTTGCTCCTAGTAGCTTCTTGCTCCGAGTGGTAAGGCCCTTGCTCCTAGCAGTAAGGCCAAGAGCCCCTAGTAGCGTCCTTGCTCCTAGTAGCGATGCCCTTTGTTACTAGGAATGAAGTGACCTTTGCTCCTAGTAGCTTCTTGCTCCTAGTAGTAAGGCGCTTGCTCCTAGCAGTAAGGCCAGGAGCCCCTAGTAGCGTCCTTGCTCCTAGTAGCGATGCCCTTTGTTACGAGGAATGAAGTGACCTTTGCTCCTAGTAGCTTCTTGCTCCGAGTGGTAAGGCCCTTGCTCCTAGCAGTAAGGCCAAGAGCCCCTAGTAGCGTCCTTGCTCCTAGTAGCGATGCCCTTTGTTACTAGGAATGAAGTGACCTTTGCTCCTAGTAGCTTCTTGCTCCTAGTAGTAAGGCGCTTGCTCCTAGCAGTAAGGCCAGGAGCCCCTAGTAGCGTCCTTGCTCCTAGTAGCGATGCCCTTTGTTACGAGGAATGAAGTGACCTTTGCTCCTAGTAGCTTCTTGCTCCGAGTGGTAAGGCCCTTGCTCCTAGCAGTAAGGCCAAGAGCCCCTAGTAGCGTCCTTGCTCCTAGTAGCGATGCCCTTTGTTACTAGGAATGAAGTGACCTTTGCTCCTAGTAGCTTCTTGCTCCTAGTAGTAAGGCCCTTGGTCCTAGCAGTAAGGCCAGGAGCCCCTAGTTAGCGTCCTTGCTCCTAGTAGCGATGCCCTTTGTTACTAGGGATTAAGTGACCTTTGCTCCTAGTAGTAAGGCCCTTGCTCCTAGTAGTAAGGTCAGGAGCCCCTAGTAGCGTCCTTGCTCCTAGTAGCGATGCCGTTTGTTACTAGGAATGAAGTGACCTTTGCTCCTAGTAGCTTCTTGCTCCTAGTATTAAGGCCCTTGCTCCTAGCAGTAAGGCCAGGAGCCCCTAGTAGCGTCCTTGCTCCTAGTAGCGATGCCCTTTGTTACTAGGAATGAAGTGACCTTTGCTCCTGGTAGCTTCTTGCTCCTAGTAGTAAGGCCCTTGCTCCTAGCAGTAAGGCCAGGAGCCCCTAGCAGCGTCCTTGCTCCTAGTAGCGATGCCCTTTGTTACTAGGGATTAAGTGACCTTTGCTCCTAGTAGCTTCTTGCTCCTGGTAGTAAGGCCCTTGCTCCTCCTAGTAGCGATGCCCTTTGTTACTAGGGATTAAGTGACCTTTGCAGCCAAGCCTCAAAGCGATCGATATAGCTGACTGACCCTGGAACTGTCCCTTCTCCGCACGACGACCCACATCTGCTTTCGCGGCGCACAGAATTTTCAAAGAAGCGTTGAGTTCCTCATTCTTTGCCTCCCTGGAACAGGCAAGGGCAGCAAGGCAAATGGGCAAATCTCCTTGTCCATCCGGGAGGTTCACATCAGCTCCTCGCTTCTCTACCAATGCCTTTAACAGGTTCCGCCAGATCTGATTCTCGAGGTTGGCACACGCTCGTGACAGCAAAGTCCGGCCTTTCTCATCCAAGTTGTTTGGTTGGATGGGGCATTCTGACACATACCAAGATGCCAAGCCAGCATGCCCCTTGAGAAGAGACACATCAACTGGAGAGTTGCGCCACTTGTTTTGCATATCTGGATCGTGACCGCAATCCACCAGGAGCTTCGCCATCTCCTAGCAAACGCACGCGCAAACGGACTGAAAGCTGAAAGCAAACGACACTCTAAGTTAACTGGTCTGCAAAACGGTAGAGCGGAGTGGCCTGGTAGCTTATCTAATCCCTTGCTTAAAGAATCTTAAAGAGATCTCATGACGCTGTCCTATGGCTCGCGAGGTACCAACAAATGCTCCGAAACCAACAGAGGCATGAACAACACACTCCAAAAAAATAGGACAGCTCCGTTCGTTTGGACCTTGGGCCCAATCAGTGCTACTGAGCTTCTCCCCAGCCATAGGCCAAGGCATAGTGAAGAGGACTATTCCCTGAGCTGTCGTTCTGTTCCACAAGGGCTCTGCGATGAATCAGGTGCGAGGCCAGCAAGGTGTGCCCGTTCATCACGGCGAAGGTCAGCGGTGAGCGGCCCTGTTGGTTTGATATATTTTGAGGAAAGTCCCGATAATTAATTACTTAACGCTTTTATAAACAAAGGTACTGTAGAATAAGCAACTTAACATCTTATAACCATGAAGGGTTATATGTTAGTTGATGTTTATTTGTATAGTTCCCGAACAGCTGCCTGCTTGTCGCACTTGTGCAGCGCTCCGGGAGCATCCTCCAACAGCATCATCGCCATGTCTAAGCGCCCAACCGCACAGGCATCATGCAAAGCATTCCGCTGAGAAGATGACGTGGCCAGCTGCCAGCCTTCGTGTACAGTATAAGGTTTTGAAGTACGATTCAAAGGCATAAACAAATTGGATAAATCTATTGAGTGACTTTCCAATTGATTAGTAACTGTTTGTGCGTGTAGAGGTGTACTGTGTTTTTATGCGTAATTCCGGGCAAAGAAAGAGTCGCATGTATTTCCACGCGAAAGAAAACACAGTCGAATTCAGCGGTGAAGAATGCTCTAAGGAGCTGGGTTTCGGCTTCTTTCCACCCTTCTTCCCTTTGACCGGCGGGGGGCATCTCCGCAGCTAGGGTCGCCATATGCTTCACTAGTGCGTCAAGAGCCTCGAAACAGCCGTTCTGCACCGACCAGTGGAAGCTGGTGCGTTCATTGGCACGCGCCAATGGATCTGCCTTGGCTGAGAGGAGCCGAGCCACGTTCTTGGGGCGATTGGCCAAACATGCACACATCAATGGAGTGATGCCCTGATTGCTCGCTCGATGTGGGGAGAATCCCGTGGTTAGAAGCACTTCCAAGGGCTGCTCCGACTCACACACTGCTGCATAGTGGACCAGGGTCCGTTGCTCGGAGTCTTTGCACAGATCCTCAGCAGCAGGTCCCAGTGGTGCCAACATCATCTCCAGGATAGTCTTGCCACAGGCTGGATTGATACAAGCACAATGAATCGGCATGATCTCAAAGTTATCCACAGCCTTCTTGGTGATCGAAGCCTTTCGCTTCACACAGTCAGCCAGCTCGGCTTCGCTGGGCGCCTGGAGCAAAGCCACCCGATGCTGTTGGTTCAGACCATACCTTAGGCAGTTGCTTCATCAAATCAATGGAAAATATAGAGCAGCACTCTTGGGGAGCGACGGGCGCTAGCAGAAATGTCTGAGCACTACAAAACGGCTTTGCTAAATGCTCTACGCAAGGAGGAGGGAGGATTCTACTTGCAGAAAAGAAGCAAATCGCCCACTCCCATGTGGCTGATAAGGTCTCCAGCCAGCTGCCAACGACCACATTGCACCGCAGCTCCCAGGAAATCACTGGGTTGATTCTGCGAGAAGATCCTTACGGTCTGCAGTCTGCCCAGATGGGCTTCATGTGGTTTGCGCACTGGTAATTTTGGTTGAGATAAAGCCATTGATGGGGCATGTCCGGGGCGAGAAGAATGGGGATGTACACATTGCAAGAGCTAAAGAGGCAAACCGGGGACAAGAGGAAGCAAACTTGGAGTGTGCAGGACCTTCAAAAAAGGACTACCAGCTTCACACGAGCATCTCACAGCAAGCAGCTAACGTCTTGAAGTCCATTCCTCGCCGGATTGCCCACTGCATGGCCTGATCAAGCCTCATCCTGGGTTGGTTATAGTTGTCTTCATCCTGCAGGGAAGGACAAGGTCTGGTCTACTTTTGCTTGTTTCATCCAATCAAGTGAACTTCTATCCAAAGGCCCCTACCAGTGAACACACAAGCGAAAAAGATGGCACGCCAGGGTGGCAACCAGGGAAGAAAGGACCCCTCTAGCTTTGTTACTAAGATGTCAAGTGCTCCTATGATACTATTATATATTCAATTCAAGATGATATTTATTCTACTATATTTGAGATATACATATGTTTTCTTCCTCTTTCATCATGAGCATTCTCGTCCCACCTCCATGTCTTTCACAAAGGCTTGGTTGCCTTCCGCTCCACCTCGGCTCAGCTTCACCTTCCGCAGCTTCTTCGCCCGGAAGGCCCGGCCCCGTGCGAAGCCCGTGGACACCGGCTGTAGCTCAGGTGGAGCCAGAGCCACTCGGTTCACCCACAGGGCTGGGTCGCTGTGCACAAAGTTCTGACCTGAAAGGGGAAGCAACAGCTTGTTTTCGAAAGGGGAAGCGAGGGAAGCAAGTTCTGAACCGGCACGAAAGAAACGCGAGAAGCTTCTGTTTGTCTTCAGCCAACTCAGTGGACTGGCAGTTCAAGTTGGAAGCAACCTTGGGCAGCCTACAAGGGAAGAAGCCCAGCAAAGTCAACTCTTCCAATTGACTTGTAGATCAATCATTGTTCAATTGTGTGACGTCAGAAAGTTGACTTGCAACCAAGTTGCTTCCACCATTGTTCAGTGGCACCCAACCTTCATCGGTTCGAATCCAGGAACCACGAAGTTCTCGAACACGAACTAAATCTCCTGGAGACAATGCTGGAGTGGTCTTGTCCTTGGCATGCACAAAGCCATCTTGCTCCGAAGGACCAGTCCGATAGTTCATCTTCTGCCCATTGGGAGGCCAAAACCAGATCTGCGCACCAGGCTTGAGCTCAAAGGTCATGATCCCGTCCTTGATACTGCCCCGGACATAATCTCCGTTGTTCCTTCGGTTGGCCTCTTTTGCGAGAATCTGTATCATCTCCAAATCCTGGTGAAGAAAGGCATGGTGGAGCGCGGTTTCCTCCCAGGGCAGTGTGCAGTCCATGCTTCGTATCATAAAAGATTAACACTCCAGACCACGAAGCTCTGCTTCACTTCTTCTCCAATTTCCAGAAGACCCATGCTACTTCTTCACCAATGTTGCATGTGAGAAGCACCCTGGGAAAAAGACAGAAACGTTCAGTCACGTTCAATTGCTCTCCTGACAATCTGCTGAGGACTTTCTAAAGAAGGAGGATGCCTTCTCGGGCTGCCTCTGAAGCCACTTCAGAGCCTCGAGACCTTTGGCACCTTGCAGCGATGAGGGATTTTGGTTCTTCAAGAATATCGGTGCTTGCAACTTTGACTCATTAGCCTCCCAGGATTAATTTGTAAACGGTTTTAACCCACTCGGTTTGGCTTTGGTGCCAAAGCCAGATATCTTGAGACATGACAAATGTTGCTGAAACAAAAGCACGCGCAGCACAAAGAACTGCAAACCTGCATTCCTGCACACTGCCTTCCGCGTGGCCTAACAAAAAGGAAGCCGGACAGACTGGTCTCATTCATATATAGTAAATGTGGTGGCTTAAGCGTAGGAGATTGAAAGCCGCCGTAGTCTGCAAAACTTAATAGCGAATAAGGAGGTGGCTTGGCTTGGGAGGGATTATCAATTTCTCTCTCTCAACTTAAATCACTTCGCCAACAAGGGACATTCTGGTGAGCAACAAGCGAGCAACCACATTGGTTTGTTTGAGAGTGTCCCCCTGTGTCAACAACCTCATCGCTCTTGACTCTTGATTTGATCATGGATTCGTTTTGACAATCTCACAAAGGGTTGAGAACTTGAACACCATTGAAAACCCGTGGGGTCTGCAAGGCAAAGCATACCAATGAGTTTGTGAGATCCCATGAATCCACCATGAATCCACCGTGACCCTGCCTCCCTGCTTTGCAGCGGCGAGCGCCACCCGATCACCCAGCATCACATCGGCCGAGGTCAAGGTGGCCTATGGATCTCCGGGGCAAACTTACGAGCAGCAAACACTTGCTGAGGTCTATGAAGGTCTTTAAGTGGATGAGTTGCTTGCTCAATACGGTGTTACCTCGAGGTCTTCAACTTCTGAGTTTCGGACGACCGGACCACCCGTCTCCGGAGAACTGCCCGGAAAACGATCAGTTCGCTGCCGTGTTTTGCAAACGGTACATTCACACTCTCGTGTTTTGCAGGAGACTCCACACTGTGGACTCATGTGGGCTCTTTAAACGTCTTGGTGGCTGAGGAAAATTTAAACAAAAAATCCCACAACTTTTCATTCTAGGGGTGCCCCTGTTCTTTGGCTATGGGAAGACTGCCTTCTTAGATCTGCGGAAGAGTAGAGATCACATAGTGACATAGAGTTACGTACTCAGGGACCCAGGTAAGGGCAAGCAAGTACCTCTTCGGAGCTACGCAAAAAGCGACCCTGCTTCCACAGCATTCCAAAAATGAAAAAGCTGGCCTCCGGGGAGTCCAAGCAAGTGTCCCAGAAAGGATCTTTCTGCAGCAGCTCTGGCAATACAACAGGCTCCTCAGGTTCGCCAGCCTGGCATGGAGAAAGATCAACTCAATGAGTCTGGGGGGCGTTTCCTGCAAGGAAGTTGGGTTCCTGCCAATCCTCTAGACTCCAGTGCACAGTACTCAGGCAAAACAGGTTGCATAGTGTCATCATGTTTCATCATTGAGATCTAAGTCCCAGGACAGCTGAAAGCATTGACAAGCATGCACATATATGCAATGCATGTTTGTACTGCGTAGGATCATAGGATCAATCATAGGCCACAAAGACCCATCAAAACACAAGAGAGCGGGGAAATGCTCTGCCTTGGCCTTTTTTCCAGGCTTTCCACCCTTCTCAGCCTTTGCCTTCAGCTTGGCTGCCATCTTTTCAGCCTTGGCACGCTCACGATCGGCCTGCCTCTGGGCAAGGCGCTTGCCCTGAAGCTTCTTCCGGCGCCAAGCACGAAAGCTCTTCCCCGGCTTCTTGGTGGTTTTCGCCTCTTCTGTTTGTTGCCACTCATCCACTTCGGCAGCAAAGCTTTTGTAGGAGTCCGACTCATACCATGCCTTCATCGCGGCAGCATAGTTTTCCTTCTGCTTCGCAGCTTCCGCTTCAAAGGTCGCCTTCTCTTCGGCTTGAGCTGAGGCCCACATGGCTCCCAGCTTCTTCACGATGGCTGCCATTGCCGCCATACCACCTTTGCTGCCGCCTTTCTTGGCTTTCTTGCCCTTTTTGCCTTTCTTGCTCTTCTTGCCGCCATCTTCGTCATCCTCATCCTCATCCTCATCCTCGTCCACATCATCTTCCGGCTCTTCAGGTTCTTCCGGCGCTTCATCTTCCTCATCTTCTCCTTTCTTCGCGCTCTCAGTGCTCTGGGCGACCTCCTCGGCCACTTTCTCCCTCTTGGCGCTGCAGAAAAGCATGAAGGCTGACACTGGAGCTTTGGGGCGGCCACCTTCACCACCTTTGACGCAGGACACCAACCTGGGGATGACAAGTTGGACTCTGAATTCACATTGAAGCTACACCTCCAAAGATATTAAAGATTCGCACAAACAGCAAAGCCTCAACTTCCGGTCCAAGAAAAGCCGGAATTCAAAGACTGGCTTGCGGTACACTAAGCTGAGAAGCTTCATCTGCATGGAGGAGCGCTTCTTCTCTGCCTTCGCCTTCTCTCGCGCCTTTGCTTCAGCCGCTTTGATGAGCTGAGCGATGGGTTTTGGAGCTTCTCCCGGCTTTTGATCTGCCTGGCAAAGTGCATCGGCTAGTCACACAAAATCGGGATAAAATTCGAGTCTGCTTGGTGATGCTATTGTTTGCCCAGTCGGATCTCACTCTGAAACAACTCTGCCTTGCTTTCTTTGTAGAGTTCCGCAGCTTTCTTCACAAAGCCTTGATACGCCTCAGACTCTTTGAAGGCCTTGAACTCGGTGGCATGACGCTCGGAGTCTTCAGCGGCTGTGGCTTTGTAGCCGGACTTCTGCTCCTCATTTAGACTTCCCCAGCCTTCAGCAACACGCTTCAAAAGAGCTTTGAGGTAGCCTGCGCCTTTCTTCTCTGTGCTCTCCTTCATTTCTTTTGACATAATTTCACTGGAATAGAGTGCCTTACTGGCCCCAACTCCCAGGATTCGCATCATTATGTGCATCGGGAAGAGATCCAATCACCACAACCCCTAACAAAAGAAAACTTGGCAGTGAATGGGTATATTATACACAGCATTCTGCAGCTAGCATCAAAGCGGCGTAGGCTGACTTTGGCGGAACAGGCAACGCATCTCCAGTAGACTTTTTGCGGGCAGCAGCAGCAAGCTTCAAGGCGATCCTGTTGATACAATTGGCTTCTGCTTTTGCTTCAGACTTGGACATTGCAGCCTCTCCTTTGGGGAGCACCACCTTTCGCTGTGCTTGAAACTGCTTCCAGCTGAGCTCATCCTTGTCCATGTGCTGTCGAGCCCGGTTAACCAGAAGAAACTTGTCAACTTCCAGCGCCAGGTTCTTGTAGGCATCAGTCTGTTTAAACTCCTTGGATGGCCAGTGCACTCCTTTTAACTTGTTCAACAAAAGAATCAGCGACCATGAGCCTAAGACGGAAGACGTTTTGTTTGGTTTGAGACATGTTCATCCCGGACGTCCCGGCCTCAGACTCGGCTTCAATCTTTTCCTTCTCTGCAGATGCCAATTCGTCATAAGACGCCCTTTCAGCTGCATCCAGGGCAGCCCAAGCTTTGCCAGCTTCTCCCAAGATCTCCATGTAGACGCCATCCTTCTTCTTCGCGCAATAGTCATTGCAAAAAATCAGCCATGAGGACCTCCATAGTGGGCAGAAAAAGAGCCATGATCAAAACTTAAATGCATGTACTAGGCCAACGCTCAGTATACTGGGACAGAAACTCACCCAACATTGGCATTGCATGGGCTCTTGCCTGTCAAATGCCAAGTACCACTGAATGAACCGACGATAACTAACGCTTGATCTCATCAAGCCTTTGCAAATATTTGGGACAGGGAGGCCCAACTGGCAAAAAAAAAAACATCACACCCCGCTGCACCTGGCTGCTTTCGGTGCATCAGGTAGTGTGCGCGAGACTTTGCTTAGCAATTTCCCACGCTCTTTGCGTTCCTGTCACTCTCTGAGGTGAAAGCAAAGATTGATTGGGAAGTGAGATGGTGAAAGCTGAAATGCAACAATCAAACAGCACAAATCTACCTGAATTGACCTGAATGCGCCAATACAATCGGAAAAAGCACGCTCCATTCCTCCTCAGTCCACTCCACGTGTGCCAGGTATGTTGTGGATGGTGGGGCCTTCGAACTGAGTCGTCGGAGAGAGGCCTGAGCCGTCCGCACGTCAGAGTGTTGAGGACGAAACCAGTGCTTTTTGGGACCACACGAAGCAATCAGAAGTGGCTGTTTGAGGCCAAGTCCAGAAGGTGAGTGTTACGAAACAAATTGAACAGGTTTACCAGGTTCACTTCTGTACCCCTTCCAGCCTTGGTAATATCGAGTGTTTGGCTCTCCCCAGCCATCTCAACATCTGGCATCGTAGCAATCTCACCGGAACTTGCCATCGATTCACCACAGATTTCCCGTGGATCACCTACTGCAACCTAATGAGAACTACACTGAGCACCACAACGCTGCGAGTTCCTCCAAATAAACCAATGACTCAATGGCAAGATATGAAAAGTAACGCATGGAAGCACGGCACCCTAAGCCTGTCAACTGTTCATCTACCCTGAATGCACAAGCACAGCAACGTACAGCAACTGAGGCAGTTGCAAAGCACAAAGAGCCGCTCAGTTGAGCAAGTTCAGAGCTCCATTTTCTGGCAACAACCCACGCAAGGCTCCCAGGAGCGCGCTTCCAGCCTGGCAGCGAAAAACAAACTTGCTGATGCGAACAAATCCATTGAACTTCTGATAGCCGATGAAATTGTAAGCACGTTTCAAGGCTTCTGACTACTTTACCCCATGTCTCTCATAGCCATGTTCATTGCAAGCAACAGTCCGAAACCTCTGCTGCGGCAGCAATCGCTGAACCGGCACCTCAAGGTGGAAGAAACTGCAAACACTGCAGGTGACTGCAAACGGAACTGCTGGGCAAAAGTGATGATCGACAGTTTTAGGTGTACCAGGAACTTGACTGAAGCTCACTGAGTATGATTCTTGATTATACTTGACTTGACTGGTTTTGTTTTCAAATTCGCTTTGTTTCAGGTTGTACCAGTATCAATTTGACCATCTCAGTAACCTCGGTGCGGCCGGAGGTTTCCTGTCATCCTCGTTCTCAGCTTCTGGCCGCCTTGCGGGGCCTCGAAGCAAAGGGATACGGTGCTCTGCAAATCACACCACGTGATGAAAAAGCCCCGGCTTAGCGATGGAAAATCCATCAAGGATACCTTGCACAGTTTTTCAAGGCAAACTTCATTCTTGCACAGAAATAATATCATGAATCATATGTATACACACACACACACGCACACACACCCTTCTTTGCTGGTCTTACAAAGAATACTCAGCAGCCAGCAAGTCCACTGTCCACGTTCGGGCCATTTGGCTTTGGCTCCTCAAAGAAATGGCTATCAAAATCACTCTGCGAAGCTCCACTGTTCAGCGCAGTGTTCCAGGATTTGTCAGCCAATCAATCCAAGTTCAGCACCGTCATCTGTACGCATTCATCCTCGTAAGGACCCCTGCGGTGCCAAGCATCTGTAGTACATGAGCAAAACAGATCTCAGGTTGAAGTGCATTCAGAATTCGATGTGCTGCACACCATAGTACAAACATCTTCTGCATAGAGTCCGAACTATGTGGCACGCTTTTGGGGTATCAAATGCTATCAGGACCAGGAGGACTAGCAAGCCCGCCAGCCGCAACATTGGCAGCCATTCAACACTTGTGGGCTGCAGCATTGGCAGCCCTCCAAGGTGCTTTCTGGACCCTGACCTAGCTACGTGAAAGCAGTTTTTCCCCTGCAAAAGGTCATAGTCTGACTGCTGTAACTATCAAAACAGCTTTGTTGAGGCTTTTGGGCTTGTGTCCACTTGCAGGGGGCAAGTTCATTGGCCATGGCCGATTTGACCACTGATGTTCATCTTGGCGAACCTCCTGGTGAGCCTACAAGGGGTGCCTTGGCTGCTTGGCGAACACCATGTACAATGTACACCGTGAAATCTTATTTTGAGAAACACAAGACTTGGAAAACTCTGGTCTACCAATCTAGCCTTGTAGAAAGCCTGCAGCCTTTGAACATCAAAGTTTAGGATGTGGGATGGTTCGCAATAAACTTGGTTATATAACATGAAGCGTTAGTGTGAGTGCTGGTCCAGGTGGAGACCAGTAAGGCCATAACTGTCAATCTTTGGAATGATCAACCCACCTGAATCTGAATCCTGGGCATCGGACCAGTGCCGAAATGCCTCCTCAGCAGACTCTGAGGGTTGAGTTCCTGTTTTGATCCTGAAGAATGTGTAATAGTTTGTGGATGTCTTCCAGTGCCAGCCATCCCCACAACTGGGAGTTTAAGACCATGTTTTACCATATCCCTTTCCATTAGATACATCTCTGGATGAACGCAAATGTTCCGAGTGCTGCACGCACCTCATCCTCGGCACAAGGCAAGACTGAGCTGCACCAGACACTGGCTCTGTCTCAAAGCGAAAATAGACTCTGGCTCGCTGGTTCTGGACAAGGGTGTCCAAATAATTTCCCTTCTCTCTTGTCTCATGTTTGTGTGCATATCATACCTACTCATACATAATGCATAATTATCCAGACAAAGATCGTCTGAACGGAACTCCCCAGTTCCTGGAGCGACGTGTTTCTTCTCACCTCATCACCTCTCATCACCTCTCCATCCTCGGAGCCGGGGCTCCACACGTGCTCTTCGTGCAAGGAGATCCGCTCCTTTTCGCCGTTCAAAGCAATGGCCATCAAGGCCTGGCTCACCTCGGCAGGATTTCCGGACAGATTGATGAGACATATTAAAACATCGCTACTAGTAACAAGTGCATCGCTACTAGTAACAAGGGCATCGCTACTAGTAACAAAAATGAGGACTTCAATGGGGGT